TTGCTCACCATCTGCCCTACTGTTCACATTTGGCTTCCTGTGACTTTGCAATCTTCCACAACATTTACGTGAAGTTTCACACACTAGTAGAGATCCACTGTGCATCCACTGAATGATCTAAAAAGTGCAACGTGCTGGAAGAGGTCCAAAGCTGAACAAGGAAAGGACCTTGAAGGGGAGACCTGTAGGTTAGACTGTTGTCGGTGTGGCTCAACCTTCGGCACAAAGACGAACTGTAATTTCATGTTAATGGTTTATTTTTAGGATTATTCCTTTTTTTCTTTTTGCAGATTTGGAGAAACTATGACACAGACAGCAGTGGCTACATCTCAGCTGTTGAACTCAAGGTGACTGTTCAAATCTGAGGAAATATCTTAAAAGCAGACACAGCTTTCGGAGGTGGTGAAATGATTTCAGATCCCCAAAAATCAGCGATTTGCTTATTGTGTGAACCCAGATTAGATCGTTATTGGGGCTTAATTAAAATGAAAAAGCACATTTGGTGGAGTTTCTCTGTGGCAGACGCGTCTTTCTTGTGTCTTTCTTCAGGGGTTTCTTCAAGACTTGTTCCTCCAACATGGGAAGACCATCACCCCCAAAAAATTGGAGGAGTACACTGACACCATGGTAACGGGCAGTGAGGTTGGGATTTGGGGGGCAACAAGTTTGGCTCATCTTCACTCTGACGGGGTTTTTTTCCCCCCTCTAGATGAAAATGTTTGACAAAAACAAAGATGGCAGACTGGATCTCAATGACCTGGCCAGGTACTGTTCGAATTGTTTCACTTTCTGGCACCAACGAGTGTTTTTACACCCTTTTTGCAGCAACGCCTGCAGTACTTTTTCATGGGGGTGACACAGGGGAGGGGGTGAGGATGGGAAATCGTGAGGGACATACTACATGACACACTACAGATGACAAAAATTGTATAAGCAGCACTGAGGGGGCCAGCACATTTTGGGGGGGATGGCCCCTGCCCCCCCTTGGTGGCACCCCTGTCACTTTATCGGTCATTTTCTTTGTTTTGATCGATCAGCCTCTCTGTGTTCTTTTGTTTTTGTGACCTTGCTTGTCACGGTTTTGAGTCTCTTTATGATGTTTTTACATGTTTTTCTATTTTGTTTTCATTTTCTATTGTTCTGCTTTAAAATATTTTCTTTTTTTTGTCCTTGCATCCCGATAGAATCACTCACAAAAGCCTTTGAGGGATTGAAAATATTTAATGGATTCTATCCTATTTCTATTTGACAAAAATCTGTTTCTTTTCTCCAGAATTTTGGCCTTAAAAGAAAATTTCCTGCTGAAGTTCAAGATGGATGTAAGTGTGAAGATGCTGACTTGTAGTGTAAAGTGGATAAACTGCACCTAACAACAAAGCCACTGTGACTGAATCATATTTAACCTTCCATACTCAGTTTGGATGTTCATTTATTCATATTCAGTGCAACATTCTGCTCTCAGGCTTGCAGTCAGGAAGACAGAAAGAGGGACTTTGAGAAGATATTCGCTCACTATGATGTTGTAAGTGGAATTTTGCCCACTTTAATAATCATCTCTTTCTCATTGGGCTTGAATTCTTTTGTTGTTTTGTTAATAGTACAACCAGAGAGCAGGACTGGTTCACGCAAAGCAAATTTTTCATGTAGCTTTAAAAATGTGAATAGAGAAAGAAAACCTTTGAAGTTCTGACACGCAGTTATTCTTGATGATAAAATAATATTATGCCACGTGTGTGTAGAGTAAGACGGGTGCACTGGAGGGCCCTGAGGTGGATGGATTTGTCAAAGATATGATGGAGCTGGTGAAGGTATAACTCTTACTCTTACGATCCCGACAGCAGTGTTTTTGTTTAGTGCTGTTTAAATGTTTCTGTTGTTGTATGATTTTTGATATCACTCACAAAAATGCAGTTATTCTGTAACATTAAAAAAACCCTTACAGAGTAGGGTTGGTACTTTCTTTAAATAAACCTTTCTTTGTTTTAATAACCTGTAGAGACTTTTATTTGAAGCATTTAAATCCACTAAGACTTTCACAGCTATAAATTCTTTCTGCAGCCCAGCATCAGTGGGACAGACCTGGATAAGTTCAGGAAAGCCCTGATGGGTCACTGTGACATCAATGGAGACGGAAAGATCCAAAAGAATGAGCTGGCTCTCTGCCTCGGCCTTAAGCTCAGCTAACTGACCCTGGAAACATTCAAAGAAGTGTATATCCTTCCTTCCTCTGCTGATCTCTTTTACTTGCCGTCTTCTTTGTATCCTGCTGATTGTCTTAACTCGTCCCTTTTCTTTCTTCACCTGTGGTTTCTCGTCTGATCCCAGTTTTTGCAGGCATGTTGATAAATGGTGTTGTGTTTTTATTAACTGGGTCATATTTCCATAACTGTAAATATCTTTCTTTATTTGAAAATATTTTGCATTAAATGTGGATCTTGCCATAATGACATTACTCTACTGTAGATAAGTAAAACATATCTATCTGCTTTGAATTATTATAATGTTGCTTTTTCCAACGCATGCTGATTCTGCGTAATGTGACTAAATCACTGTTTGCATGACATTACTGTGAAAGTAGCAAAGATAGAAGAGATTTAATAAAAATGATTTACGTTTTGTCAGTAGTGTCTTTCTGAACATAAACCACAGGAGTCACAGACGACCGGCAGGACTCCTGAAGTCTTTTTACTGAAAAACATCAATCTGGCAACAAGGACCACCTTAGATTATTAAATATCACATAACAGGAAACAGTCCTGTTTATTACTTTGAAAATATACCTTTCATATGCTGTCCCTCCAAACTGATGCTCTAGATTTAAGTTTATATTAAAGCCTTCTATCCTGAAACTAATCAGAGGATGTGCCTCTTACGCTGAGTTAGTATAAAGTCTTAGAGGCCTGTACTGTGAAACAATTTTAAAAACTTCTACATACCCAGGACATCTTTTCTCCTATTATATTTGGCTTCATTTACCCTAACAAATCTCCACATCTACCAGAACTTGTTCACATAAAATGAGCTCAGTGAACCATGATGCCGTGTTGTGTCTGCTTTACCCCAGACAGGTTTAAGGTTTATTTGTTTATAATAAATCCCTCTGCACCCATCAGAAACTGAATAAGAAAGAAGAACATGTGCAAGAAGGCTGTAGTTGTAGCAGCAAACAGTGTGTTAAGTGGATGAGTTGTACAGGGAGCCACAGGCAGGAATGACTTCCTGTGTCGTTCAGTGGTGCTTTTCGGTAATCTCAGTCTCTCACTGAACGAGCTCCTGTGACTGACCAACATGTCATGGAGTGGGTGGGAAGAATTATCCAACATTGTCTTTATCTTGGACAGCATCCACCTCTCCGACACCACCTTAGGAGAGTCCTGCTCCATTCCTACAACATTACTGGCCTTGCGGATCAGTTTTTTGAGTCCCCCAGCATGCAGCAGCATAGAGGATCGCACTGACCACAACAGACTCATACAAAATCCTGAGCATTGTCCAGCAGATGTTGAAGGACCTCAGTCGCCTCAAAAAATAGAGACGACTCTGGCCCTTCCTGTAAAGTGCTGTGGTGTTTTTAGCCCAGTCCAGTTTATTGTCAATGTGTACTCCAAGGTATTTATAGTCCTCCACAATGTCAACACTGACCCCCTGGATTGAAACAGGGGTCAAGTGTTTCCTGGTCTTCCTGAAGTCCACGATCAGTTCCTTGGTCTTTGCCACGTTGAGCTGCAGATGATTCTGCTCACACCACGTGACAAAGGAGTCGACCACAGCCCGGTACTCTGTCTCATCATCCCTGCTGATGCATCCATCCACCGCAGAGTCATCAGAAAACTTCTGAAGATGGAGGTCTCTGTGCAGTGGCTGAAGTCTGTGGTGTAGAGGGTGAAGAGGAAGGGGGAGAGGACAGTCCCCTGTGGTGCCCCTGTGTTGCTGATCACCTTGTCAGACACACACTGTGGGAGACGTACATATTGTGGTCTTCCTGTCAGGTAATCAACAATCCAGGACACCAGAGAAGCATCCACCTGCATCGCTGCTAACTTATCACCCAGGAGGGTCGGCCTGATGGTGTTGAAAGCACTGGAAAAGTCAAAAAACATGACCCTCACAGTGCTCGCCGGCTGGTCCAGATGGGTGTAGACACGATTGAGCAGGTAGATGATGGCGTCCTCTGTTCCGAGACGAGGCTGATAAGCGAACTGAAGGGGATCCAGATGTGGTCTTACTATGGGTTGCAGCTGGTCCAGGATGAGCCTTTCCAGGGTCTTCATGATGTGGGAGGTCAGTGCGACAGGTCTGTAATCCTGAGGTCACTGGGACGTGGCGTCTTTGGTGCAGGGATGAGGCATGATGTCTTCCACAGCACCGGGACCCTCAGACTCAGACTCAGCATGAACACTTGATGGAAGACTCCACAAAGCTGGGGGGCACAGGCCTTGAGGACGTGGGGACTCACTCCGTCTGGTCCAGCAGACTTGCCTGAGTGGAGTCTCCTTTCAAATGTGAACCTGCAGAAAACTCCTTCCTATCTACATTTTATTGGTAAGACTAAACAAAAATATAATGCTAACAACATTTCTACAACCATGTAGTGGGAAAAAGGGACAGCATGTGGTTTTTTATGATAAAATATCATAAAGCCTCTAGAAACCAAAGTCTTGAATTTTCATCACTAGGTTTATTTTAGTATATTTCATAATTTAATACCCATTTTAAGATAATAGACCAATAAGGAATGGGGTACCTTGGTGTGAAGACATGTCAGTTTAAAGTCATTATGCACCACAAATTTGAATGTAAACTCTATTGGATTTAGGTGGCATCCAAAAACTCGTGGTTGGGTGTCTCAACAATTAGACACAGGGGCTAAAGTTCTGTCATCACTTTGGTCAGCTGATCCTGTAAGTAGTCTACAAACTACGCTGGCTAATTAGTTTAATTCCAAACAGCTGCTGAGGTGGATGGAAGGGCCTCTGCTAATCTCTCCCGCCTGATTCAAATTAGTGCTATATGATTGGTTCTCAACCTGTTGTTTGTTTGCAAGCAACAGTGCGTGCTCTGCAGGCTGCTGGGTTGTGCTTTCTGAAAGATGGCCTCTGGACCTTGTGTGAGGTAAACTTGTTTTGTTCCATTTTAGCAAATCTGTTGATATGCTGACTTTGTTTAACACACATTGTATTTCCAGGGTGTTGTTGCTCTCACTGTTGGCCTTCAGCAAGCATGCTGAGGGTGAGTATTGATGTGTGCAAACTACATTATGCAATCACTAACCTGTTAGAGCACTGTCGATTTAATTTTCTCTTTGCAGCTCTTACTTACAGGAGGAGCTACTCCAGTGTCATTAAGCCTTATTTTGGGAAGCCTGAGGATTTTCCACACAATCAGTATCTTGTCTCCAGACATAAGAGCTATGCACAACCCCGAAGCTCTCTGGGTGTTTATGGGCCAGAAAATGGGTCACCTGAGAGTTCTTACCCCACTGCTGCAGGTCTGCCTGGTGGTGCTGGTGCTTCCTCTGGTAGGCCATTAAATGGTTACCTTCAACAAGAAAGCATGTCTAGCTACAGATCTGGCTCATCACAACCCCACAAACCATCATATTACCAGGGTGATACTGATGGTGCCCTCCAGTCCAAGGATGCCATGTGGGGTTTGGCACCATCCCAGAAAAGAAACTGGATTGACGCAGGAATCGTCTCAAGTTATCCAATTGAGATGCGTTCTGTGCCCCAGCGGCCAAGTAATGAGCACCAGACCCAGCCACACGACAAGCAAGAACAGTTTAGCGATGAGTCCAGTATGTTTCAGTCTCAGCCCCAGCCTCGCCCGCTGCCCCAGCAGCCACGCTACGAGGCCAGCAAGCCCCAGGCCCGGCCTTTCCCCCAGCAGCCACGCTACGAGGCCAGCAAGCCCCAGGCCCGGCCTTTCCCCCAGCAGCCACGCTACGAGGCCAGCAAGCCCCAGGCCCAGCCTCGGCCAATGCCCCAGCAGCCACGCTACGAGGCCAGCAAGCCCCAGGCCCAGCCTTGGCCTTTCCCCCAGCAGCCACGCTACGAGGCCAGCAAGCTCCATGCCCAGGTACAACCCGAGCGTGAACAGTTGGGCGACGAGTCCAGTAAGTTTCAGCCTCGGCCAACGCCCCAGCAGCCACGCTACGAGGCCAGCAAGCCCCAGGCCCAGCCTTGGCCGTTCCCCCAGCAGCCACGCTACGAGGCCAGCAAGCCCCAGGCCCAGCCTTGGCCTTTCCCCCAGCAGCCACGCTACGAGGCCAGCAAGCTCCATGCCCAGGTACAACCCGAGCGTGAACAGTTGGGCGACGAGTCCAGTAAGTTTCAGCCTCGGCCTTTCCCCCAGCAGCCACACTACGAAGTCAGCAAGCTCCAGGGCAGTGAAGCCAACTCTCCAAGTGGAGGTGTGCTGCAAACCAAATCTGGCATGTGGGACTTGGCTGACCCAAGAAGTTTCAGACCCATTCCAGTTTCATTAAGAAATCTCTACAGGTGGCCACAGCAACAGGCACCCATCTACAACAGATGTTAGCAATAGGTATTTCTGAATGGTTGTCTTTTATTTGTATTTGTTTTGTTTCTAAAAAGCTATAAAAACTCCATTTATTTTTCTCTCCTCAGGTTCTGGCCTCACCTGCAGTTCGTTCTGGCATGGTATCAGATTTTCTGAAATTAATAAAGTGCACAGAGCTGCAGTCCCTGGCTATTGTTAAAACCTCCTGTTTGTTCAGTTTTATGCATGCTCTCATGATAAACTGAGCTGCTCAGTAGATCTAGGTTTGTACTGTTGCTACCATAATGTTGCAGTATACAAACTGATGCACAAAAGGCACTTTTATTTCCCCCCTGAAATAGTTAAACATAAAATTCCTCTCAGGCCTTAAGCCCCAAAGATTGTAATTATCTTACAGTTGTGTAGCTTAGCAAAGCAAACCTGCTTAGCTTTAATGTTTCACCAAGTGTTCAGGGTTCACAACCACAATTTTCACTTCAAGAACAAGGGGTGGAAACATGGCAGTTTAATGCCTTCTATCAATGGCAAAAATTACAGTCCAGTCAGGACTACAACCAACCAGATGCTAAACAGAAAATGGTGGTAGTCTGCCAAGCAGGTGGTCACTATTAGGGATTAGCATAAACTAAGGCAATTCAAAGCACAAGCAGCGATTATAGCTTTGAAAGGTGTGGGTGTCTTGTTTTTGGGGCCCAGTTGTGAACTTTGATCATTCCTTCACCGTCAGTATCAGGTGTTGTCTTTTTGTGCCTTAAAAGTAAACTGTATTAACAGGCTCGGATTAAAGTGTTTTTATTCTGTAGAGAATATTCACTATTGCTTTGTCTTTGGACAAAAAGTCTTGAGTATTAATATACATATCTCATAGATGTATCATCAAATGCTACTTTCTTGTCTTTTCACTTTTCTGCTGCTTCTTGCTCAAACAGCATCCCACCCCTCCTCCTCTGATAGCTGTTATTAGCTTAGTCATCTCCAGTTTGGGGAGATAATGACAGTGCTGTTTTTTGGACACTGACTTCCTGTGTGTGTGGTGTTTCTCCCTGTCATTAAGCAGCGAGTCTGTGTGGTCAAAATGACACAGCTTTGACTGCAGGAGACGCTTCACCATCCGATCCCAGCTCCAATGAACTCACTGTTGGTTTTCCATTTTCAGCTTTCGTAGTGTCTGTTGCTTGTTTGGGGGTTTTACCATCCTTTCCTTTACTCATAGATAGATAGAGATATCATTTATTGTAAAACTTTTTATAGATATTTTGTAGCACACAGTTTACAGTACAGTGTTGTGGGCTTTGCTTTACATTCAATCAAAATGCACTTTAGTCAAAAGTGCATTGCAGTTCATCTGCAGTAACATATATTTGTTTTATGGATCTTTTACTCCCTCATTTATTTAAACAGTGTCAAATTGTAACAACAACCACTTCAAGGCGCTTTATATAGTAAGGTAGACCCTATAATACATACAGAGAAAAACCCAACAATTATGAGCCCCCTATGAACAAGCACTTTGATGACAGTGGGAAGGAAAAACTCCCTTTTAACAGGAAGAAACCTCCAGTCAGAAACTGCATGAAAGGCTACGGTTTGCAAGGCAGCAGATGTAAAGCAACCAAGGCAGATGCAGCTGCTTAAATCAAACTCTATTGAACAAAGTGTTTCAAAGATGATTAAAAAGCTAATAAAAGAAATGACATACTTCAATAACTGACATATAATTAACAACACAAATCAAAAAATTAATTACAAATTTGAATGAGTAAAACATTACAAAAAATTAATTGATAACAGTTAGAAAATAAAATAAGCTATAAAGAAAGATAACTTTAGATAAAATAGATTAAAAGGAGTACACCATGTACAAAGTGTGTATGAGTCCTGATCAGTGAATAAAATAACATAATCCAATGGTAAAGACTAGAAAACAGCCATCCCTGTGGTTTAAAGAAAACAAAATAAACTGGAAATAAGTTTGAATATTAGTCCAAACAGAATTTCTATAATGATCGATTCTTTCGATAGCAGATATTTATGTTCTAGAATCAGTTCTCGTACTTAAGTATAGATATTTTAGTAATTTGAGGTAAATTTGTAGTTTATCATTAACAAGAACAGTAACTATATTACTGGAATTGTCTAAATGACGGTAGGAACTACAACAGTCTGTTGCAGGGCAAACACAGAGAGAGAGAGAACCACTCACACTCACATTCACCCCTATGAGCAGCTTAGAATCACCAACTAACCTGACCCCACTCACTTCACGTTTTTCGACTGTGGGAGGAAGCCGGAGTATCCTGAGAGAACCCACACCAACATACCAACTCCGTGCAGAAAGGCCCTGGCCTGGATGAAATTCTAACCACCACACTAATGTTCAAATACCATTAAGAGCACTGCACACTGTGAGGCAACAGTGCTACTGCACCACCTGAATATCTAATCCAATAGTATTTTTTAACATCTGTTAGTTTCTTACTATTTCTTACTTTTTTCTTGAAGTTTCTTGAAGTTTGCAGCAGAATAGCTGTTTCCTCTGTTGGAAGAGGCGGCCATCTTGGAAAATGCTATCGCGTTAAAATTCTAGTGACTGACAGGATTTTTCAAATTAACGGCTCCAGAGAGACAAAGACACAAGATTGTAACAATTCTCTACTTCTCTAGTTGTGTAGTGTGTTCTCTCATAGAGTCCTCAGAGGTCAAAGAATATAAAACAGCTCACAGTAAGATGTAAAGACCAAACATGACTAAACATGACCCGTTATGGGTGGGTGGAGGTGAATGCTCTGTTCTTTCTGCTTCAGTATCTTGTCTTGATAGTTCAAACTACAGAAAACAGAATGCTCTTACAATCATCTCTACCAAGAGGTGATTGTAATGTTTGTTATGTGGTTACATGTAAGTGGATAATGTAATCCACTGTGTGTTGTTGCTTTTTCTCATACTGTTTTCTGCCAAAGCTTCACTGACTACATTTGACCATTAGATGTCCTCCAACCTCCATGAACACCAGAAGTCAGACGTCAGGGTGACGTTTACGGTGACACAGACAAAATAAATCACTGCACAAGACTTCAACTGACCAAACTTTCTTTGGTGTCCGGCTCATTTAAATTGTAGCAAACTTTAAAAATAAACTCATTTATGAACTTCACTTTGACAGTAATTTATACTTTTTTTATTATATTTTTATTGAAAAAAAAGGACTTGTTACAATAAAGTGCATTGATATTATTTAGTCGAAAAAAAAAAGACTTTTTCTTATTCCTTTTGTTTTACATTCAGGTAACAAAAAGTGATCTCGGTGCTTGACAGTGTTTACATAATCCAGCACGTTTAACTTATTTACATAAAGTACATTAGGTATAAATTATGAAGTAGATGGTCGACCTGACATTGTACAGTACATGGGAGATACACCAATTCAGAGCTGGTCTTATATTTCAAAAACCACCTTAAACCAATCAAGTGTTGGTGGAGTTGGATTTGACACTTCCTGGTTATTAATTTTTTGCTGGCTGCTAATAGCTCTTGTAAGAGCTTTGTGTCCCCTCCCCGGACCGAGCCAGCAACCAGGCCCAAGTACAAATTTACAAAATTAATATCAAATTTTATCTCAAAAACCTCACACAGAGTCTCATGAATTCCCAGCCAGTAATTATTTAAGTTAGGGCAGTCCCAAAAGATATGGGAATGATGTGCCTCTTCTGATCCACATCTTCTCCAGCATTCTGCTGTCCCATTTTTATATTTAGTTTGATGAGGGCTTTAGAAAAATCGAATAATGTTCTTCCAGCAGTGGTCTCTCCAATTAATGAACTTGTTGAGTACCAATGAAAATTACAAATCCTCTCCCAGTTCTCGTTTGTTTACCCATCCTTGATTCCAATTCCCATTTAATCTTAATATTTTGAGTAGTATCCTTCCTGGGCTGAAGAAGCACATCATATAGTTTGGAGATTGCCTTTCTCAGAGAACCAACACATGCTCATTTAACTATCTTAAACATTTCTGACTCAACCGAGTTTGGGTTTGGGATATTGCAATGTTTGTTAAAATAATCCCGCGTTTGAAGGAACCTACTTGTCTTAGGCCAGTTCTTGTTTGTAAAGATTGAAAACTCTGTAGTGTCCCTTTATGTGTGAAGGGATGGAGTGTTGTTAGTCCACTCTCTATCCAGGACTGAAATCTGGTAAATAAATGATTCTGTTTAATAAATTATGCTCATGCTTCAACATTAATATCTTTTATGAAAAATGTGGGTTCACTGTGAATTTTCATTATTGCATTTTCTTTAATCTCCTTTTTGGCTGCTCTCGTTACTGTGAACATACACATGCACTTATATTAATGCACATGTAAATGAATGTATGACGTGTATATATGAGTGTGTAGAACAATATGCAAACCAGGTTCACAGATGAAAACACTGAAACACACCTCACCTCACAGACTGAGCGTCAGACTGGTTCATGAGAAAAGAAAAGATGAAGATTCATCTTTGTGATTTTGTTTCCTGTAGATCCACGAAACACTCACTAGGGGGCGGTATAATTTTAAATATCTGTCCTACTCAGGTTTCTATTTCTTTAAATCACGAGCTCGTAATGAAATGAAACTTTACTGAGACTTTTATTGTTCAAGAACTCAGCTCAGTAGGTTATTATTTTGTGTGGCTGCATTTAGAAGTTTTGCATGAATGACAACTTCACTTGCAGACTGACAATAACCCAAATAAATATTTTAATGACTAATTCTTTTAAACATCCTGTTTTTACTCGTCTAGTTCTAGCAAACAAACCACAATTTACCTTCTTTAGATTTAAATGCTGGAAACAAAACATTTGTTTTACTGATATTATTTTTCTTTTACATGTTTGAACAGAACAGATTTTTCTGTAATGTTAAATACGGTCATTTTTCATATATTATTCCACTTAACAATAATTTAACTCTTTTGTAATCTGTAAAAAAAAAAAAGACTAAGTATCAATATGAAATAATTTAGACTGTTTGTTCTTTGTCAGAGAGCCATGCCTTTCTGTGACATTTCTTTTGCACATTTTATCTAATAAAATATTAATATCGCAGGCCTCGGCGTGTCTTTTGTTTAGAATGGCTTTGGTTGTCATACTTGAGCAGTTATTTGGGTCCTTTGTGTTTCTGTGTCACTAGCTTTTTATTGTGCAGTCATTTCCCAGCGCTATCACAAAGACAACACCCTCATCTTTCCATTAAGAAAAAACCTTCCTGTGCTGAAGGCGGGGCCACGGGAACGCGCGTCCACGACCTTCCAAGCGCGCTCCCGGGCCGTGTCTCCTTCAGCTGTGTCAGAGGAGCAGGTTGGTGTGTGAGGTTGAGCTTCCCCGCTCTGGCGCGTCTCTGCTCCTCCGGCTGAAATGGGATTTGTGCGTTCCGAGTGGACACCGACCGGCTCCTGCGCTCCTGCTTCTGTCCGCCTTCTAGTCTCCTTCAGCCGGGGAAACCCTGCAGCGCAAGTGTGAGCGCTTACATCCGCACCGAACAGCGTCTCTCTCCCTCCCTGTGAAGCCCGTTTGTTTCCCGACGCTTCATTTATGGACTAAAGAAGCTCCGAGTGAGCGTGTTTGTAATTTCCGTTCACACAGCTGAAGATGGAGACGATGATGGAGAGGGAGTGCAGCGCGCTGGGGGGGCTTTTCCAGACTGTCATTGGAGACATGAAGGTAACGCGAAAAAGACGCGATTGTTCCACCTGATCCTGGTGGTTAACATCTGTGTTACACACATCTGATGTTTAAGGCAGGGCGGCTGCTGCAGAGGCTTCTGATCTGCAGACCCTGTTGCACAAAACCAGAGAAAAGCGTTCCGCCTGTGCTGGAGATTTTAGCGACATCATTAATTTTCTAATTAGCCCGAAGTGGGAGGTGAGCGCAGTCTGCTGGTTCTTAATGTTCAGCATCTGATCGCCTGCAGCTTTCTCCAGCAAATGACTGTAGCATGTAAACCAAGCTTCATCCCGGTAACCAAACACAGCTGCAGGCTACTAATGCATCGGAGGGATGAATGGCACTGTTGCAGTGACACTGCAGGAGATAAACACACAATGAAGTGCAAAATGCTCGGTGTCCTCCCCGAGCTTCACAGAAAAAATCACACTCCCGGGGTTTTGATTGCCACAGGGGTGCGACTGCTAGGATGGGCTGCTTTAACAAAACAAACAAACAAACAAAAAACATTTCAGATATATTTCTAAATCAATCTCGTCTGTAAGAGCTGCCAGAATTGTTGTGCCAGATAAAACATTTCAGTCTCAGGCATGAAATAGTGACAGAGCTCGATTTGTTGGAAATTCAACAGCTTTGCTCAAACCTTTTAAAAATGGCTGCTTTCATTTGTTCCAGCTTTTAAAATGTGAACATTTCTGCTTGTCTTTGTTCTAATTGTTGCTTTTAACTGGGTATTTATGGCTGAATTTTCCACCTTTCTGTGTCAAACACGTCATTGATTAATTGAGGAAATAAATGGCAGCTTAATGACAGTGAACTGAGTCATTAGCTGCATTTCCCTGAGCAAGAACACAATCAGTTATGGAGACCCGATGGCTGTAACTGGGGTGTTCTGTTGTAACGTTCGTGGGGCTTTAGTGTTTGCATGTCCACCAAACTGACCCATATTTAATTTGAATGGCAGGTTGTAACTGGCAGACACCCATCAATTGCCATACACATGTAGCACATACACTGTAGGAAAGACGCAAGCTACTCATGAGCAAATGGCAACGCAATCAGACAGCAACAAGCCATAATGACCGACACTAATATGAGCTGCCATATGTTAGCCAGAGGACAGAAGTAAATTAATAGCAGCACTTTGTGTAATAATCAGTATATGCAGATGAGAAGTGGTTAATTGTAGATGAACTCTGGTGACAAACCAGTAAAATAGCAGAAGTACGTTACAGAGAACTGACTTCCCATCAGCCCCTCCATCCTGGGTCCTGCTGCGCCAGGCTGGCTGTGGTTCAGGATTTATGAGTTTTATTGAGTCAGATTATCTCTTTGAGAAAAAGATCTGTTTTCCAAAATAGACCTGAAGACATGAAGCATTCAAATTCAAATTCAAATTTTTATTTGTCAGGTACACAGTCATACACAGTACGATATGTAGTGAAATGCTTGGACAACTGCTCGTGACCGAAAGAAAACAAAAAAGGAAAAGGCTATGAATACGATAGGAAATAAATATGAAAAATTAAAAAGGGTAAATTTAACTAGGAAGGAATAAAATATAAATTAAGGTTAAAAATGAAATAACTGTACAACACAAATTAGAATGAAGGGTAAATTTAACTGGGAAGAATAAGATAAAATATATAAATTAAAGTTGAAAATAAAATAACTGTACAACAAAATACACAATACACAATATAGAACTATATAAGAATGTATGAAGAAATCTAAATATAAATAAATATATACACAATAACAGCAGCTGTACAAGTATTAACCGGAAATGAAGAATATAGTGACCAGTGTTGTGCAAAACCAAAGTCCAGAAAGTCCAGTGTGTGTGTAAGAACCATATGTGTGGGTCAGTACTGTGTGGTGGTGTGATTGAGAGACCGTATCGCCTGCGGGAAGAAGCTCCTCCTCAGTCTCTCTGTGTTGGTCTTCAGGGAGCGGAATCGCTTTCCTGACCTCAGCAGAGAGAACAGTCTGTTGTTGGGATGGCTGAGGTCCTTCACGATCTTCCTGGCCTTGGTCCAGCACCGCCTGCTGTAGATTGAGTGCAGGTCAGGGAGCTCGGAGCGGATGGTGCGCTCAGCTGATCGCACAACCCTCTGTAGAGCTCGTCTGTCCTGCATGGTGCTGTTCCCGAACCAGGTTAAGATGTTTCCCGTCAGGATGCTCTCTATGGTGCACGAGTAAAAGTTCCTGAGCACCTTGGAGGGCAGTTGGAAGTCTCTCAAGCGTCTGAGGTGGTAGAGACGCTGTCGGGCCTTTTTCACCACGGTGTTGATGTGACAGGACCATGACAGGTCCTGCGTGATGTGAACTCCGAGGTATTTGAAGCTGTCCACTCTCTCCACTGGGCACTCGTTGATGACGGGGGTCTGGTAGTTCCTCTCCTGCTTAGTGCTGAAGTCCACTATCAGCTCCTTTGTCTTTTCTGATAAACACACGGTGAGCGTGAGGACACGGCACAGCTAAGACCAGATATTAACAAAATGAGTTTTATTAACAAAGCCAGTTATGAGTCCAGCTAATATCTTCAGTCTGTTTTCATTCTATAGTTTGATGCTTATCTGAATTGGATGTTGAATATGGAGCTCCTGATGAGTCAAACTGTGTATTATTTTGTAAAAGTCAGCATCACTGTCTTTGGGTAAAGTAACAACAGGACAGTCAGAGGTAGAGTAAACAAACAAAGCCACAGATCTCAGTCTTTTCTACATTTAAAGGAACAGTTTATTTAAGAACTGAGGCATTTTTTTTGTAACCTTTGACAACACTCAGTAAATATTTGGCAACTTAGAAGACCTCCTGCTGTTATTTAGAAAGCCAAAGCTTAGGATTTCAGCTGCTTGGAGTCCTTCTTTTTTGTATTTTTGGTTCAGATGTTTTCACTGTGAGGCAAGTCTGGACTTCAGGATTCAGTTCAGTTTTATTTATAAAGCGCCAAATCACCACAGCAGTCGCCTCAAGCCACTGACAGTATTAGGATGCTGTTGATTAACAACACTCGTTGTGTATTCTTTCCTTGTTGTTGTGCCAATACCTGTGCATATTATTCAGCATTAGTGGGGCCTTCACTGATGTGCAAGTTACAAGGAATTACCTCCAGTTTGTTCATGTAAGTAGGCAGTCTTCTTCTGGAGTCCCGCAGGGTTCTGTGCTAGGACCACGCTTCCTTTAGTTGCATTGTTATGCAGATGATACCCGACTCTATCTGTCCATGAAGCCAGATCAATTAGTTGAACTGCTGGAATGTTTTAAGGACCTGACTTCTAATTTCTCATTTCTAAATTGAGATAAACCTGAGTTTATTGTACTCATGATCTGATATTAATTGAGTGCTATAAAAATAAAACAGAAATAAATGACCTTTGTCACAGGTCATAATGCAGTGCTGTGGTGAAGATCAGAGATTTCTGCAGATTCTCTGATATAACTCACAAATTATTTACTTTATGTTACATTAAAACATGTTAACGATCGACTCTTAGCTTCTTAGGGAGGCTCCTTGGAAAGTAAATAAATAAAAGGAATTAATTGTGAGATATTTCACCAGATTTTTCAAATCTCATATTAAATTAAAAATGAGTCCATTCCATAGTTTTTATATTTGTAATGTTTTCAGTTTAATATGGCTTTTAAATGGTTTGTAACAAGTTGAAGTTTCTGTTTGTTAACATTTACAAGGTTTTCTGGTACAACATGTACGTCTTACCTTCCCCTACTGTAACAGTGAGGTCCTGGCCCCTTTGTAAATTAGTCTCTGGTTCACAAAGCTCTTTAATGCGGGGTTCACACTACACAATGCTGTTGTTTAAGAAGATGTCAGATCAGGTAATTAGAGTGGGAGACAAATGACAGACTATGCGTTGGTCCCCTGACAAGTCGTAGCTTGCACATTTTTCACAACCTGAGTGATATCACCAGAAAGTGGTGCCGGCGAAGCACCACAAAGATGGTGGCAAACGTGCTGTGTTGGCATGGAAAAGCGCTTTGGATGCCCGTAGTGTGGATATGTTTTAAAAGTCTGAAGCCAAATGTATTCTTAGGTCATGGTGAACAGTCCAAGGTGCAGCACTGATTGTTGTCAGCCATATGCTAGATTAGATAAAACGGTCATCAGTCGTTTACAGACCCGACTCCTGACATCTTCAGGCTGTTTTCCTGCTGATATCATGTAGCTGGGACCTGACCCAAGCCAATGAATCAATGCAACTGTTTTCCTGCAAAGGTTCTGACATCATGAGCACCTAATAATACACACGAAAGTTAAAGATACTTTATTCTCATTTTTATCTTAATTGCTGAATTATCGTCATCATCCACCGCCGTTTGGATCAGACATGTGAGTCACAGATGGTCAAAGGTTTCCTTTTGTTAGTGGAAATGTGTGTGGGTGGAAATGGCTTCCACTCTGTCAGTGGGGAGACTCCAGTCTCCTGCGTTTCATTGTCTTTTACATGCAGACGTTTTGTCTGCGTGTTTGTGTTTGTGGTGTGCCCGGCCTGATGAAAGCCTCCCGACTCCCTCTGTCATACTTTGTGTTAACATGTAAAGTGATCGCTTTTGTATTGCTTTTAAAGTGATGCTGGATTCCTGTCACCTGGTCCTCAAACATTTGGAAGCTTTGAAGGTTTCATGTTGTAAGTTCTTCCTCTTGTAAGAATGATTTTGATACACACCATGAAAGACTGACTGTTTACGGACTGCTGGGAAAAGCACATGTCGAGAACTTTTAGTGTGGTTTTACTTTTTCAGTTGTTCATGGCACTGTTTGGCTTTAGGTGTCATGTAACTGCGCTCATGAGATTGACCTCCTACCCTCATTTTATTAAGATGAGGGCATAAAACAAGCATTGTGGCCTCTTTTCACTTCACTCATATCCTCCCTTCAAAATATTTCACGCTCAGTTTGTTATGATGTGCTTAGCATGTTGTGTACATGCAAAAGGTTTCCTGCATCGTGCTGTATGAATGTGAGGGTGTTT